ACAGTAAAATATGTTCACAGTGATTAAAATATTCTTTACTTTTCGATTTTAGCTTTGAAGTTTTAAGAAATTTTATTATCGGGCTGGCCCATGGCTCACTCGGGAGAGTGTGGTACTGATAACACCAAGGCCATGGGTTCGGATCCCATACAGGGATGGCCGGTTTGCTCACTGAGTAAGTGTGGTGCTGACAACACCAAGTCAAGGGTTAAGATCCCCTTACTGGTCATCTTTAAAAGAAAAAAGAAAAAGAAATTTTATTATCAACAACTTCTGACTGCCCTTAATTCTTCAATGGCCTAGCTATTCATGAGGTTCCAACCAGCCCCTACAGAAGCAGGGAAGGAATAAAAATAAAGAGGGAGGAGATGACCTGCAGCTGGGAAAGGGGAGAGTGTGGCTTTGTTTCACCTAACCCTAACTAGGGGCAAACATCCAATGCTGTTTTGCTGGTAGCAAGAGGTGAATTTTTTCCTACTGCTTTCAAACAAAAGTGATTGAGGATAGGAGACTCAACATGAAAAAGAAAAACACTTAAGTAATACAAAGTTTGTTTTAAAATGGAGATGGGTTTTGTAGCCATGAATGATTTCAACTACAGAGATATAAAATGGGAAAAACCACATGCATATACAAAACCTTTGTTTCTCTATAATACCTAGTATTTTTTGTTAATAAACATTATTTTAACCTGTTCTTCTAAATCATGAGACATATATAACCTTATCTTTTAAGCCTCTATTACATTTCACTGAAGATATAACACTCCCCAAGAATAACTTGGCAATGCATTTATAAAATAAACTGATGAAATCTATGTCACTTTTCAAAATTAATTAATTAATGCGAGGTTGCGGAGAAAAAGGAACTCTCATAAATTGCTGGTGGGACTGCAAAATGGTGCAGCCTCTATGGAAAATGGTATGGAGGTTCCTCAAACAGTTGCAGATAGATCTACCATACGACCCAGCTATCCCACTGCTGGGAATATATCCAAAGGAATGGAAATCATCAAGTCAAAGGTATACCTGTTCCCCAATGTTCATTGCAGCACTCTTTACAATAGCCAAGAGTTGGAATCAGCCCAAATGTCCATCATCGGATGAGTGGATACGGAAAATGTGGTATATCTACACAATGGAATACTACTCAGCTATAAAAACGAATGAAATACTGCCATTTGCAACAACATGGATGGACCTTGAGAGAATAATATTAAGTGAAACGAGTCAGGCAGAGAAAAAGAAATACCACATGTTCTCACTTATTGCTGGGAGCTAAAAATAAATTAATTAATTCACTCACATACACACAAAAAAAAGAAATGGGGGAGGGAGAAGAGGATATAACAACTACAATCTTTTGAAGTTGATACAACAAGCAAACGGAAAGGACATTCTTGGGTGGGAGGGGGGAGAGGGAGGAGGGAGGGAGGTTTCGGTGATGGGCCATAATAACCAACTACATTGTATACTGACAAAATAAAAATTTAAAAAAATAATAATAATTAATTAATTAAAATAAACTGATGACCCTCGGGGACAATAAAAGGTTATTCTATCATACAGGAAATAAAATTAGTCTCTTCTGACTTATATGCCCATTACAAAGTTAAATCATTTCTCACATTATTTCCTTAGCCTTTACAATAAACATAACTTACAAGTCATAAAATGTTCAACTCTTTAAAAAAAGTATCCCAATGTTTACGAACTCTCCCAGGTGGAAAGGAGATGTAGTCTAAGTTTAAAAAGTGATTGAGCTCTTTAAACTTTTTAAACTTAGACTCCATCTCCTTTCCACCCAAAAGAGTTGGTAAATGTTGGGATACCTTTTTAATAAAAGAGCTGAAAAGAGATTTTAATTCTAAGGCATTCTGTCAGTTTCATCTCCTGTGAGGATTTCTGCTTATCTCCTGTAAAAGAAGATAGTAACTTTGATCCAAAAGGTCGCAGAAAACAGAAATATACAGAGAGCTTTGTACAAGTCGTGTGTTTTTTTAAAAAGTAATAAACACAGTATTACTTAGTTTGGAAAGAGGGATGGAAACCTATAGGAATGTTTTTGAGATGACAGAATGATACCTTAAAAATGTCTGCCCTTTGTCCTGCCTTATCTTTAAAGACAGCCCATGGAGTCCAGTTGATATTGTTACTTGTACTTGTCTCAAAGAAAATTCTTCCTCACATTACTCCCCTTACATATATATTTCAGAAATCACTTTATTTGACATCCTCATTCATCACTGCTGCAAAGTCAGAAAGCACTCTGTTCACTTAATTTTTACTTTCCTTCATCTCAGGACTTGTGAAAGGAACTGGGATAATGCGGGAGAAGGGATATGCTCATGGCCCAGGAGAAGACAGCCTCATGAAGAACCAAGGTGGAATACCAGGTAGGCTGGCTTCAGCCACGCACACATGCATGTCAGCACTGCTAACAATCACGTGTTTAAGAGATGATGTTCAACCACTTTTCAAACAGGCTCCATCTCCTTTCCACTCAAAATGACTCACAGGGTAAGAGGAGATCTTGGACAATTTGTAAGCTCTGTGTTCTCATCAGTTTCACTTAGAACCTACATAAACCCAGATTAAAATCCCCCAAGTGCAAACAACCTGGTCCAAACCAGTGCAGTTTTATAAAGTACATTCTTAATCAAGTTCCAGAAGACACACTAGAAAGGGTGGAGTAGGCAAAAGAACTTTTCAGTTTTAGCCGATAGTTCAAGAAAACTAAGCCATGGGTAACAAAAGCACACCAGCAATCTCACCCACTCCACCCACCCACATATAAATACACAGACACAAAGAGAAGTGGATTGCAGTATGCTCCTCCTCATCTCTCATTTCCACAGAATTCTCATAAAAAGAACAATGAAGACAGAATATTCTGACGCCTTAAGGTAGGTTGTACTTGGCAATAAAGGGGTTAAGCAACAGTACTTTCCTAGAAATCTTCCCATTCCATAGCTACTAATGCAATTCTCCTCACTCTCTGTACTACATAGTTTTAAAACAGTTCAGCAGGTTAAGGGTTAAGACCAACACCTCAGGAAAAAGAGAGAACTTGGTTCAGCTCCACCCTCTCTAAAGCAAATACCAAAAACTCTGAGCCAAGTCCACTCAGCATATACAAGACTCCATGGACATTCCAAAAAAACAGGTGAAAAGAAATTGAGTTTCCTCAGGTTTCTCAACTTACAGCACCACACACATAGTAGACTTCACAAATTTGTGAAACACCCAAGTACTAAATAAAATAAAAGCACAAATAAAATTCTACTAAAGACTTGAAAAACATTAACAAGTCACAGAGGTCACTACACATCAGCAGGAATAGCTGGAATTCAGATGAGGAAGGTCAAAGAGTACCCATGGAAACAAAATTAAAACAAAAATATACAGAAATACAAGGGCCCTAGAACTTAAGTTTTGAAGGGAAAGCTTTCTAACTAGAGGGTCAGTTCTTATCCTAAATAAACACAGGAAATGTTGCTTTAGTCACCAAAGGGTGATGGGGTGTCACTACTATTAATCTTCTATTTCTGGAAAAAAAGGTATTCACCAGATAAAAACAGGCAGTTACTGACAGCCCGTATGTCACTGGAAAGGACAGTCCAGGAGCACCTGGTCTTGCTGGAAATAGGTAGGAAGAAATGAGTCACTATTTTAATTCTGCTTAGTACTCTCTGCGTCTCAACCTTCTAGGTTACAAAACACATTTTCTTCCTGTTTCCATTACTTTATCAATTTTCTTCCCAAACTTGTGGAGCTGGGTCAGAATGTTGGGGGATGGGGCTAAGAGAAAGAAAGAGATAAGAGTTACAAGCCCTTTGACTAGTAGAAAGAGATATTAGGGTAGGGGTGTAAATACCTGGAAGAGATGACTAAATAACAACTAGCAAATGATCATTACAGTCCAAGACTCTTTCCCTCTCTTAGAGCACCATATCGTTCAAAGCTTTTACAGTGAAAAGCAAACAAATAGCTCCCTGGAGAGAGGAGTAAGAAAGAAGATTTAGTGTGGGCAAAAGGGAATGAAATACGATAGGGTTACACGAATACCAATATTCCTTGACTCCACAAGTGGAAGTAATTGGCACCCGAGGAAAGCTACACTCTTCTACAGGTAGGAAGAGGGATGTCAGTAGCCTAGGGGCATAGGAAGTAGCAGAAGAGGAGTTGAGATGGTTATCATAGGAAATGTATAAAAAGGAATCCAATTACAAACTTCTTGGACTTTCAGTCTAACTTCCTCCCCACATCACTATCCTAGGTCAAGAAAAGCATAATCATGAGAGAGTTGAACCCTCTGAAAAGTAATAAGCAACAGGGCAAAGAAAGAGGTTATTTGAATAGAGAAATACTGGTAAGCAAATTAACGTCATGCTCCAATGACCATAGGACCTGTGCAGGAACCCACTCCTGTAATCGCAAGGACAAATGTCCAAGGGAGGAGAGAAGGTAGGGCCCAAGTCAGATAACATTCCTGAGGGGAAGGATTATCAGGTGACACCGGGCCGAGGGCCCAGGGAGGGGACTGAGCGGGAGGAAAGTTAGCAGGTGAAAGGGATCAATCATGGGGAAGGAAGTGACCTTTAGGAAAGGAAATACGAGAATACCAAAAAAGGGGGTAAAAGTAAGAGGAGAAAATGGACCCATTAGAGCACAGGGAACCAAGAAAGAGAAGGTGTGTTCGGGTAGTAGAGGAAGAAGAAAGGAAGTGGGGCTGAGGGGCGGCCGTGGCTATGAGGGCGGGAGGGCAGAGCGTGCGGGCTGGGGAGTGAGGGAAGCCCGGAGGTGGCAGGAGTAAGAGCCGGTGGGACTCCAGGGCTTCCCAAGGTCCCAGAGGGGGAGGATGTCGGGCTGAAGAACCGAGTACCAAGCGAAACCAGGAAGGGAGACGCGGGCGCCCCTGGGGCCGGCTGCGGGGGTCTCCTGGGTCCAGAGGGAGGTTACCCGGCCGGGCAGAGGGAGTGAGGTGGGAGGGACACTCACGAATTTCTTGGATTTGCCGCCGTCGCCGCCCGCCACAGGCAGCTCGTCTGGGCTCCGGCCCTTCTTCTTGTCTCGGGTCCCGCGGCCGGGCCCCAGGCCCCCTCCGGGTGGCTCCATGTCCTGGTTCTCGCTGGCCGGTAACCCAGCACCTTACGCCGCTCCCACCGGCAGCTCCGCGCTCGCCGCTGCCGCCGCCCAGCAGCTCCTTAGCCAGCCGCCGCGCCCCGCCTCATTAGCATGCCGGGCTGCGCGCGCCTCATGAATATACAACGGCGAAGCCTCGCTCACGCCCGCCTGCCCCACTTCCGCCCGGACCCGCAGCCCCTACCAATGGGGAAACGGAGGGGGGGCGGAGGGAAGCCGCGGAAGCGCGCTACCTGCCCGGCGGACCTAACCATTCGGACCCACGTTGGGGGGTGGAGAGTGGGCGGTGCAGCTGTTCCCGGCCGCAGCGAGGAGCACCGCCCCCTGGCGGCTGAAGAGGCACAGGGCTCTCTGCTCCCACGCATCGCCCACGTGGCTGTAAAGCCTGGACCCTCTGGCCAGGATATTATTATCCGAACCAAAAACCGCATAAGAGACTGATATTCTGTCAGAAAATTTAGCGCTAGGCTTTCCGGAATACTGCAGTTTGTAATGTGTGCAAAACCCATGGAACACATGGAAAAAAGTGACAGCTACATTTTATGGATACATATGAAAGCTATGTACCAAGAACAGAGCTTGGTCCAAGGCAATAGCTAGACCCTGAACCAGACTAGCTCTGAAGTTTAATTGCCTGGTCTTGAATCCTAGGTCAGCAACTTTCTAGTTATGTTCTAATCTGGACAAACTAGTTATTGCCAATATGTGCCTAAACAGTAATAATAGTTACCAGTTCATGACATAGCTGTATGCCAGGCCCTATGCAAAACACAGTGCCTGTATTTCCTCACTGAATTGTAACAATCCCATGTGATAGATTCTGCTGATCTTGCTGTTTTACAAATAGGAAACTTAAGAGAACTGAAGTGACTTGCCCAAGGACACATAGTTGATTAAAAAAAAAATCTAAGCCCAGATTAGTCTGATTGCTGCCAAGCCCTGTTTAACCAGGATCCCCACTGAGGTAAACCGAATAATGAGTGACAAGAATGGGTATTCTCCAAGAGTATGTTCTTTGTTCTTCTAGCATGACTTTCTCCCCCAGCAACTTCATACATTCCTTCAGCTACATCTGTCCCTTGTGTGAGAATTATGAGGCCAGTGGGCCTTCACAGTATGAACCAAATCATCCCAATCACACCTGACAAAAAGATTTCAAGTGTGTATGTTCCTGAAAGGCAGAGTCAGTGACTTATTATGGAACCCCCAGTACTTAGTCTACAGCCTGGTATATACCAGGGACTCTGCCACACTAGCTGGCTCCTAAATCTAGCCTTTATCTCTCTTGTGCTACAGACCTTCTAACTGCCTGATGGAAAGCTGCTTAGAGCTGTCCAAATCACACTTCAATTTGTCCAAAAAGTTTTACTTTCTAAGCTAGAGTGTTGAGAAACAGGATCAAAGGATGGAGGAAGTGACCTATCTTTTTCTTTCTTTTTTTTTTTTTTAAAAGATGACCGGTAAGGGGATCTTAACCCTTGACTTGGTGTTGTCAGCACCATGCTCAGCCAGTGAGCGAACCAGCCATCCCTATATAGGATCCGAACCTGTGGCCTTGGTGTTATCAGCACCACACTCTCCCGAGTGAGCCACGGGCTGGCCCTGGAAGTGACCTATCTATCACTCCTCTCTCTTGTAAAACTTTTATATGCTAGCTACATTTATCATACCCCTTACTGGATTGTAAACTCCTCCAGAGAAGGGTCCATGTTTGTGGCTACTACAGTATCTAGCATTGTTCTTCACATAAAGTTAGTGAGCAAGTTCTTTTTTTTTTTTTTTTTTTTTTTTTTTGTTTTTTTGTTTTTTTTCGTGACCGGCAACGGATCGCAACCCTCAGTGTCGCGCCCGTACCGGACCAGGACCGGCAACGGGATCGCAACCCTCGGTGTTGCCCCCGCTCCTCGCTCAGCCAGTGAGCAGCCGGTCTGTATGTGGGATCCGAACCCTCGGCGGGAGCGCCGCCACGCTTCCCAAGCGGCGCACTGTAGCAGTGCGCCACCGGGCCGGCCCAGTGAGCAAGTTCTTATGTCAGGCACTATGCTAAACACTTGACATGTTCTATCTCAGTGCTTCTTCACTAACAAGCATCATGATTCCACACACCCAAGTTCAGAAACCTGAAGTCATCTACTCCCTCTCTTAAGCTATCAATCTGACCAGGTCTGTCTAACTTTTAACCAGAATGCTCAATTAACTCCCTATATATAAAATAATCCATGCAGAATTACATACACAGGACCTAACATAAGATAACTGCTGAATGAATGTTAACTATGATTTATATTATATATAATCATCACCCCCATTTCTCTCTCCCTTCATACATAGGAAACTAGCAAGAATTAATAGCCCTAAAAAGGCAAAAGGTACAAAAAATACCAACTTGGTTTATTGAATAAAAACAGTGGTAAAATGGACAGAAAGCCAAAAGTTAGAACAGGACATTTTCACATCCTCCCCCTGCCCTCATAACCACACTTTCCATCATCTGGGATTAAGATGTTAGGGAGCCAGGACCTCCCCAAATCCCTCATGCTTCACCTGCCCTGAAGCAAGGCCTGCAGTAGGGGAACCCAGGAGAGGAGGAAGTCAGAGGCAATTTCAGTCCTGTCTACCTCTTTACCCCTAAAAATCTCTGGGTTGGAGGGAAGCAGAAAGAAAAAAGGGGCCAGAGGGGCTGGGGACTGACCTCTAGGGTCCACTGCCCATATTGTCCCAGAAACAGATATCCTTATTCTCATCTCATCCCTAATAGGTACCATGGTCAGGCCTTGGAAAAGAGAGCAAAAGGCGGTAGATGGTTCTAGAACCAGAAGTGGTCTCCAAACTCTTCCCCAGAGTTAGTAAAAGCCCTGGAGGTGACCAGTCCAAGACTGGGGGAACCACACCTTTTCCCTCCTGCTCAACCAAGAGGTGAAAAGGAATTCTTTGGGACACAGCAACCCAAGCTGCTCTTAAATCTCCACATCGCTTTCCTTGTCATTGTCATGGTCTCCATCATAGAACTCATTGGGTGCCTCTGGCCTGCAAAGCAAGGGTAGAGAGAGGTCAGGATCCCATTCTCCAACTTCCAATCTTCTCCCAGCACCCTCATTTCTCAGGGATCCCTCTGTCAGGGAACCATTCATCTCCTCTTGTTGGTAGAGACTGATTGCTATTAATTCATCCATTCATGTATTCAATAAACATTTATTAAGGGACTACTCTGTACCAGAAACTGTCATAAGCCATAGCAATACGGTAGAGAATAAACCAGACAAGGTTTCTGTCTATCCTCAAAAAGCTGATCTAATAAATGAGACTGACAATAGCTAACAAAGTGAATAAATATGATAATTTCAGATAGTGAAGAGTGCTATGAATAAAATGAGATAAAGTGACTTCACTAAGAGTGATGGGAGGAAAAGGGTGAAATTTCAGACAGAATTATTAGGGAAGGTTGTTCTAAGAACATAAGACCTGAAGTCTGAGAAGAAGGTAGCCAGGCAAAGATTTCAGGAAGATCATTCCAAGCTGCAAGAAAACCAAGTACAGAGGTCATGAGGTGAAAGTAGACTGATATAGTCCAGTAAGATCAAGAAAACCAGGATGGCTGGGAGTAGTGTGCACGGAAGAGAGTAGTTAGAGATGAGATCAGGGATGCAGATAAGGGCTAGCATGCAGGGCCTTTTTAAGCCATGGTCAGAAATCTGAATTTTCTTCTACATGCAACGGAAAGGAGAGTTTAAGCAGAGGAGTGTTGACATGATATTACAAACCTATAGTGAGAGAAGAGATGTGAAAGCAACATAGGGCCCAACAGGTACTCAATACTGATTTCTTTCTCTTTGAAAAAATATTCTCTGGAATGATAGAATTGAGAAAGCCATCAAAGAGAAGCTGAGGAACTAAGCCAGGAAAGGCTCTATCCGCTTGGTGGGGAAAATCAAATTTTAAGGGCACAAAGTGTGGCATCAGAGACTCAGGTTTAAATCCCAACCTCAATATTTAACTAGCTGTATGACCTTAGAAAAGTTACATAACCTATCGGAGCCTTAGATTCCTCCCCTGTTATTTGAGGATAAGAGCCATCAGGGTTGTCTGATTACAATAGAATGATGATATATATGTTGTAATATAAAGTACTTACTACTGAGTATGGTGCTTAGCAAACCCAGAAAAAGTGGTAATTCTTATCATTACTACCCTGCAAGTCATATGCAAGCTGGAGCTACAGACATCAAAGAAGAACAGAAACTCAGTGGGTGGTCTGATAGCGAATATGCAAGCTGGAGCTACAGACATCAAAGAAGAACAGAAACTCAGTGGGTGGTCTGATAGTGAGGTAGGGCTCAGGAACAGGAAGAGGCCTGATGCTTCTTCTGGCTGTTGAAAGGTGGTATAATGCAGAGAGTAGGCCCAGACGCCAGTATGGAATTATAGCATATGCAAGCTGGAGCTACAGACATCAAAGAAGAACAGAAACTCAGTGGGTGGTCTGATAGCGAGGTAGGGCTCAGGAACAGGAAGAGGCCTGATGCTTCTTCTGGCTGTTGAAAGGTGGTATAATGCAGAGGGTAGGCCCAGCTGCCAGTATGGAATTATAAATGAAAAAGCCAAACTTTGACAAAAGGAAGAACTTAGACAAAAGGAAGAACTTAAAAACAGATTTTACCAAACCAAATCAGACAATGAAAATCAATTTCCAGAAGTCAAGCCTCAAAGACTTGGAGACGTTAAGAAGGTTAGATGATGAGTCAAAAAGGAAACCCTGAGGCCAGATGTTCAGATATTTCCTCATCCAGGAGAGAGTGTGAGAGGGAGAAAGGGAGTTGGAGAGGTCCCAAGGGTCAGAGCAGTAAACCCTAGGTCCAGAGAAGAGATAAAGAGGCCTGAATACTAAAAGAGAGAAACAGATTCTGGAAGGGACTGAGAAGTCCATCAGACTGCAGCAGAGCCAGCTCAAACCTCTAACACTGCGTGGGAGCAGGACTGGGTGTCCTGCAAGTGTCCAGCTATGGTTATCCCTCAGTCACATAAGCAAATCTGTTCTCCATTAGGTGCATCTGTTTCTGCACTTCTGGGTTCTGTTGTCTTTTCCCTTCATATTTCAGAAAAGCTTGTTTTGGGATTTAAAAAAAATTCGATCCTAGTCTTTTTTCCCCCTAATTCATTCCATCTATAAATATTTTAGTATGTATTTCACAAAGACAAAGACTTATAAATAAATAGGGTTCTGTTGTCTTTTCCCTTCATATTTCAGAAAAGCTTGTTTTGGGATTTAAAAAAAATTTGATCCTAGTCTTTTTTCCCCCTAATTCATTCCATCTATAAATATTTTAGTATGTATTTCACAAAGACAAAGACTTATAAATAAATAAATAAACATAACCACAATACAATCATCCCACCTGAAAAAATTAAAGGGCAAAGAAATCAAAGGGCCTTAGAGAGCAGTACGCGGGCAGTCCAGCTCAAGACCTGGAAGGACTGAGTAAAAACTGGCAAGAATGTAAACTGCTAATAACTTTTTGGAAGGCAATTTGGCAGCAAATATAAAAAACTTTAGTGCACACAGCCTTTGACCTAGTGGCAACAATTCTAGGAATCTAACCCACTCAAACAAGCATGCAAAGATGTGTATGTAAGGGGGTTCACTGCCACATTCTTTATTACTGAAATAGCCAAAAAATGGGAAATAATATATCAATCAATGGTAGCTACTGAAATTATGCTACATCCACACAATGGAATATTCTATAGCTGATAAAATACCGGAGCAGATGTATATATATATATACACTCACATGGAAAGATACATTGTCTTCTTAAAAAATAAAAAAAAAAAGGAACAACCACCAGCTGTAAGTTGTACAGCAACAAGCATGTACAGAATGATCCTACTTATATTAACAAAAAAACACACAAACAACAAATTCTGCAAATGAGTGTATATGTGTTTATATCTGCATGTAGAACAGTATACTTATACAGAAAAAAGTCTATCTAAAAAGATACAAATGAAACTACATATTAAGAGCGGTTACTTCTATGGAATGTGTCTGGGATTGTATGAAAGCAAACTTAACATTTTTGGTGCTGTTTAAAATATTTGCAGTAAGTATGTAATACTTTTATCATTAAAAACTGTAAAAAAAAAAAAAGAGGGGAAATGGTAGCAGAACAAAGGTGGTAAGCCAGGGACAATTAAGCTTATGCCTTCCAATTTACTTGTTCCCTCTTAAGCCTCCCCAGTAAGCCTGCTGGAACCCCCTGCTCTCAAGTCCCTTCCCCCAGACCTGCTGTAGTTCTCCTCAGGACCCCTCTCCTCTGCATCAGCTTCATCAGTCCTGTCATAGGTCAGGAGGTCTGCAGGCACATCATGAATCTGGACACTAGGCGCATGGTTCAACATCTTCAGGTTTTCGAAGATTGTCTGGCGGATCTGGTCCAGATACTGGTTGGAGATAAAGAATAAGAGTGAGCAGCTCCCAGTGATTCCCAGGGCATCCACCCTTCTAGCTGCCTTCTACCCCTACTGTCCTGGTTTTAATCTCAGTGGCATTTCTAGTTCAGGTCCCCCAACTGGTAACTGTCCCTACCCCCCAATCCTGACTGCCTCCTAGCTAATAACAGTGATGGTGATGGCTCAGAACTTTCTTCTCTTTGGTTTCTCCTACTTCCAATATCCTGGACTTCTCCTGGGCTCCCCAACCCTTGTGCTCTTCTCCAAGCTACTAACCTGACGTGAGTTCTGATTCTCGATGCGGGTGCTAACATCTGGATGGAGTGTGAAGTCCGGGGCAAAGTACTCAAAATACTCTTGGGGAGAAGAGGGGATTAGGAGAAAATATGGCACAGACCAAGAAAGGCAGGTCCCAAGACTTCCCAATCTCTCCTTCCCACCCAGACCCCCTATATAACAAGCCCAATCTTCTCCCTGCTCTGAGCCTAGGGCATTAGTCTGCAGAGCTCTGAGAATGTAAAATTTCCTATCTGTCTTTAAACCAGGTCATTCTGTGGTCTGGTAAGAATGACCTTCCTGTTGTGGGGGTGTCGTGGGGTGGTCCTTACCACTATAGGGAAGCTCCTCACTAATGGCCTCTTCTACCAGCAGCGATGTCTCATATGTCCTGAAACCAACCAGCAGAGCAAGTGGGCTGACCAAGTGGGCTGAAGGGCCCACCTGGCCATATCTCAGGGAGCCCCTAGCTCACAATGGACAGGGAGGAAGGAGGAAATCAGGGAGGGTGCTCACCAGCAGCGGGCAACATTTCGGACAGTATAGCCACCACCACCCAGCACTAGTAGAGGGATATTGAAGCTCTTGACATATTCGACACATTCCCTGTTAAAAGGAACCAGAAGAATAGGTGGAGGAAGTTATCAAAAGCCAAAGTACAGACATCTAGTTATTGCCTGGAAAAGGACATAAGGGGACTACAAATGTTCTATATCTTGATCTAGGTAGTGAAACTTATTGAGTTATACCCTTAAGATTTGTGTACTTCATTATATATATGTTGCATCTCAATAAAAATTTTAAAATAAAGCACCCCCCCCACCTCTGTCTTACTCAATACCCTCTCTGGTACCCCATCTGTTAATCAACTACTCTCATCAATGCACAGCAAGTTCTGTCAGTTCTAGCCTTCAAAACATACTGCAAACCTTCTACTTCTCTCCATCACCACCTCCCCCACCTCAGTCTTGGCACCACATCTCCTACCTAGACAATGCCAGTGGCTCCCTAACTAGCCTTCCCACTTCTACCCCTGTCCCCCGTACCCCTACCCCAAACCTTTCTCCATTCAGCAGTCAGAAAAGTCACTTTAAAACATGAGTTGGATCATGTCACTTCCCTACTTAAAATCCTTCAATCGTTTCCCATCATCTCTGGAATAGAATTTAATCTCTTTACCAGGGTCTAAAGGCTCCGTGCAATCTTTCCACAGCCAACTTCTCAGACCTTACCTCAAACTACCTCTAGCTTGCTCCCTGCATTCTGGCCTCACTGGTTTTCTTTCATTTCTTCCACTACCTCAGCTGTTTCCTGCCTCAGAGGCTTTCATGTGTCCTTCTCACTGCATGGGACAGGCTGCTCTCTGCTCCTCTTATGGCTCACTCCTTCTTAGCCTCCAGGTCACAGCTCAAATTTCACCTCCTCAGAAAACCCTTTCCAAATCATGCTGTCTAAAGTAGGTCCCCCACTGTTATCCTGTGTCTCAGCTTTCTATTTTTTTCCTTCATAGGATTTACAACAATCTACTTATCTCATTTGCTTACTTATTTTTTGTCTGTTTTCTACACTAAACTATATAAACTCCCTGGGAGTTTCCCCATTACATTTCCATCACTTAGTACAATACCTAGAATATAATAGGTACTTAATAAAAACCTACTGTAAATGAATGACCATTTAGGGAACCCTGTTCAAGGTGACTTTTCTAGTTCAAGTACAATTTGTAGCAATTTTTGATTCCTAAGAAGAGGTGAGGCTCATTCCCCATCTACCCCCACTCCATGAATTAAGGCCCAAGGCCACTTGAAAACCTGGGGAAGAGGAAGAAGGGCAAGTCTCACCCATGTCCTCGGATACTGAGGTTGAAGCAGCCCAGTCGATCACAGCCCAGAGAGTCAGCTCCACACTGCAAAAAACAAACCCCCAGGCAGCTGCAGTGAGAAAACTGATCAGAACATCACAAATGTCCTTCTCTTCCCTTCCCCCACCAAACTAGGGAAACTCCTCTTCCTTGCTCTCTTCCCCCAAGCCCAGACAGAGCACTCCTGAGGAGATACCGACAATATTACCTGAAGCACAATGCACGTGGGTTGGTAGAAGTCCACCACCTGGTTGATAACCGGCTGGAAAAGGTGCTTGTAACCTGAGAGAGGGCCAAAGATGGGCACCTGACACCCCAATGGGATGGGGAGACAGGGAACAAAAGGAAAAAGGGGGTTGAGAGAGCATGTAGCCCAGGAAAGGGGCAACCCAAGGAACCAAACCATTGGTTCTTGAGGGGGTCCTAGAATGTTATGAGTGACTAATGAAAGCTAACTACTCTTTTCCCAGAAAAATGAACATATACATGATATGTTGCATATAATTTCCAGAGGGTTCGTGGTCCCTATGAAGGCCATTCACCCTTAAGGACACCTGGCCCAACAGTAGACAATACCAGGCAGAAGAAATTAATTGACGGAGAGAAAGAAGGGGCACAGTGAACAGGAAGAAGACATCAGCACTTACTCTGGTCATCAATGCCATCCCGCAGGGGCACATTGAGACAGTAGTAGCGGCCACTCTCTGCTCCGACTTCATACATGTCACCTATAGGAAAATGGGTGGTGGTAGCCATGCCCGGAAAGCACCCACAGCCCAGCTGCTTCAACCTCAACCTGAACTCTGAGGACCTCTCACTCCATCTGCGTAGCTCCACCACAGACTCTCTAGACCCACTAAGTCTCTTGCAGCTTGTATTCATTCAACAAACATTTTTTTGAGGGTCTACTGTGAGCCAAGCTGTGTACTAAGCATTGGGGATATAGTAGTGAACAGAATTAATGAAATCCCAACAAGCTTATATTCTTGGTGTGTGGGCAGACAGTAAACAAAACAAAAAAAAACACAATAAATACAAATAGTGGTGAGTGCTCTGAGAGAAACAAACAGGGTGAGGTGACAGAGTAATGGGGAAGGAGGTGATTACAGTAACTAGAAATGAAATCCCAACAAGCTTATATTCTTGGTGTGTGGGCAGACAGTAAACAAAACAAAAAAAACACAATAAATACAAATAGCGGTGAGTGCTCTGAGAGAAACAAACAGGGTGAGGTGACAGAGTAATGGGGAAGGAGGTGATTACAGTAACTAGAGTGGTCGGGAAAGGCTTCTCTGAGGAGGGGACATGTGAGCTCGTATAACTTCGTATAATGTATGCTATACGAAGTTATTACGATTCTTTATAAAAAGAAGAGGCTTGAAGACAGACACAAAAGGCTATATTACTGTATGACTCCATCTACATAACATTCTGGGAAAGGTAAAATATAAGGACAAACATTTAATCAATAGTTGCCTGGAGCTAAGGTGGAGAAAACGGATTGACTACAAAAAGGTATGAGGGACCTTTGTGGGGTTACAGAAATATTCTATACCTTGATACATTCTATCGAAACTCTCAGAACTGTTACAGCTAAAAAAGGTGAATTTTACTGTACACAAATTATACCTTCATAATCCTGACTTTAAAGAAAGGAAAGGCTTAAAAAATTCCTAGTTTTAGGTCTCCAAGAAATAGTGCAGCTGATATATTTGACCATATGAAAAACAGAATTGTAGGGAGTTTTATACTTTCTCAAGAGATTTGGAAAGTATTAGTGATTGATACCTAGAAAACTAAGCAAGTGAAAAAATTAATGCAATTTTCAGCTCCAGGGAAAAACAAAAAGTTGTACAAGAAAATAGAGTAAATCAAAGTAAATGATTTGGCTCAATAGTAAGTGATTTTTTCATAGTGATAATAATGTAAACATAAAATACTGGTTTATTAAAAAATTGTGATATAACTATATTGTGAAGCTGGGAGGGGAGGGGAAGCCAGAATGATGGTAGGAGAAGACTATCCCATACTAAGAGCTTAATAGATAATGCCTAAAACTAATAAAGGAAGAAATAACAGTAAGAGACAATACAGTAGGGTAGCATGATTATGAGCCCAGATTCTGGAGCTAGCCTACCTAGGTTCAAATCCTGACTCTTTGCATAACAAATGCTGGTGAGGATGCAGAGAAAGGGGAACCCTCCTTCACTGTTGGTGGGACCATAAATTAGTGTTTTATAGAAAACAGTACGGAGGTTCCTCAAACAACTACAGATAGAACTGCCATACTATCCAGCAATCCTACTGCTAGGTATATACCCAAAGGAATGGAAAGCATCATGTCAAGAGGACACCTGAACTCTCATGTTTATCACAGTTCTGTTTACAATTGCTAAGAGTTGGAACCAACCTAAATGACCATCGACGGATGACTGGATAAGGAAAACGTGATATATATATACTCAAAAGAATACCAATCTGCCATAAAAAAGAATGAAAATTCTGCCACTTGCAGCAACATGGACGAACTTAAAGAAAATTATGTTAAGTGAAATAAGCCAGGCACAGAAAGAGAAATACCACGTGTCCTCACTCATAAGTGGGAGCTAAAAAAAAAAATAAACAAATTTTTAAAAAAAGAAAGATACAATGATCACAATAACGCATTGAACTTTCAAAAGGAGAGAACAGAACTGGTTATCAGAGGTGGGAAAGGGAGAGGGGGAAGAGGAGTTAGCAAGAAATTGGTAAAGGCCACAAAAAATGATTACATTGTGTAATGTTTAATATACTAATCATCCTGATTTGAACACCACATACTGCATACCAGTACTGATATTCAATTCAATGTAGTACCCACAGATATGTACAATCAATTATGTTTCAATAAAAAAGTAAATAAATAAAAACAAATCCTAGCTCTTTAACACCTACTAATGAATATGAGGGTGGGCAAACTGTTTAACCTTTCTGTGCCTAATTGTCCTCATCTATAAAATAGAGACAATAGACCCTACTTGATAGGGATTGTTGAGAGTAAATGAGCTAATGGCTATAAAGCATTTAGAATAGTACCTAGCACATGGTAGGTATTACCTAAGTATTACAGATTAGCAGCAGCAGTAGCAGATTAATATTATTTTGAAATCCAAAGATAAATACCAGAAGAAACAGGTAAAGGAGCTGAAAGTGGCTGCCACTGGGAGAGAGATTTAGGGTTGGGAAGGATAGGTCTGCCCTAACCCTTGTAGTATGATTCAGCTATTTATATTAGATTACTTTGAAAACAATCAGAAATTAATTAAAAGGGAAAAAAAGGGAAGGAAAATCCCTGATTCTCATCTGAAACACAGATAAGCACAACTGTAGCTTAAGGTTGACGAATGCTGCACAAAAGGACCCAAGGTAGTATTCTCTAACCACACAAAGAGCATCTTTAGGGCCCCAGCTGTGGCCTAAGGACTGACTCTGCATTCCCAGCTCTACAAAGTAAACTCAAAAATAGCAGCAGGAACAGTAACCAAAAAAAAAAAAAAAAACAAGAAACCTCCTAAGACAGCATATAACAACACCAAATGGCCACAGTGTGTACAGGACAGAGCTCTGTGGGCTTGTGTAGTCAAGATACACTTCATGGAGGTGGTATAAAGGCCTAGAATGCTTTAAAAAGTTGAATGAAGAACGAAGGGCATTCCAGGAAGGCATTCCATGCAGCTGAGGTGTGGGGATAAGATCGGAAAGAAATTTAATGCCAGCCTAAGGAGTTGGCTTTTATCCTCCAGTCCTGGCAGCTTCTGTCGTCAGGATCTTTCAGGGAAACAGATTAGCGAAGTGTTTTACAAACATGGGTTCTGGATCTGAATCCTGCCACCTCCACTAACCAGTTATGTGACTCCAGCTCAGTTACCTAAATCTCCCCAAACCTCAGTTTACTTATGTATAACACCAGGAAAAGGACTATCATGTCTCAGGGGTTATATGAGAATAAATGATGTACCACCGACCCTCGGCATAATATCAAGCAGAAAAAGCACTCAGTAAGTGGTAACTCTCTTAGGAAACTCTACGGGATCAACACCTGGTTTCTTCAAGAAATAAATTCAAGGAAGAGAGGGAAAAGCTCCAGATTAAACTCTTCAAAGACATTCAACCAAATACAGTGTGTGGACTTTGTTTAGATCCTGATTTAAATAAACTAACTACAAAAAAAAAGTATGAGACAACTGGAAAAATTTGAATACTGATTGCATATTTGATGATATTAAGGAATTACTGTCTATTTCTCAGTGTGATAATGATATTGTGTGTGTGTTTTTTTGAAAGTGTCATTTAGAGATACATAAAATATTTATGGATAAAGGAATGTGACATAGGATTTACTTTAAAGTAATCTATCTAACATGACAGGGTACAGATGAAGTAAGATTGGCCATTTGCTCGTAAGTGTTGAAGCTAGGTGATAGATATATGGTGGTTCACTATACTACTCTACTTTCAGAAAAGTTTGACATTTTTCCTGATAAAAAGTTTAAAAATAAAAATAAATAGAACTTAGTAGATGGTAGCTGTTATTATTTTTTCATGGATGTATACTAGAATATAAACAAGGATCTTGGCTTATCTTTGCTGTCTACTCCCTTTTCCACAGGACTTAACCTTGAGTATTCTACATTTGATACAAGCTCAATGTACAATCACTCCCTTGCTTTTTAAAACACTTTGATGGAGCTGGCCTGTTAGCGCAGTTGGTTAGAGGGTGGTGTTATAACATCAAAGTCAAGGATTCTGATCTCCATATGGCCAGCCACCAAAGAAAACCCAAAAAATATTTTTTAAAAAACCATTTTAATGGGCCGGCCCAGTGGTGCACTGGAGAGTGCGCCGCTTGGGAGTGCAGTGGTGCTCCCGCCGAGGGTTCGGATCCCATGTGGAGACCGGTTCCCGCTCACTGGCTGAGCGCGGTGCGGGCGCAACACCGAGGGTTGCGATCCCGTTACCGGTCAGTAAAAAAGACAAAAAGGAAAAAAAAAACAAAACCATTTTAATGACTTCCTTCTACTGTAGGGATAAAAACCCCTATTAATAATAGAGCTGTTTACTTTTAAAAGGCCCTGCCTATCTCTTTAGCCTCAATTCAGATCACTCTTCTCTTCATATTCTGTTCTTGACATTTTTCTGTACCTCAAATGAGTTGTACTCTATCCTAGAACAGACCATTAGCACATGTTGTCCCTACTGCCCACTACATTCCTCCCCTCACCCTCCAGTCACCTTTCACCTATGTACTTACTACTCTTTTTTCAAATCTCAGTTCAACCTTCAATACTTCCCCTAGGAAGGCTCCACTGACCAATGACCCCCAAGCTATATAATTCTCCCAAGTACACACTCTCATAGTCTATCATGTACCTCTCCATCATAGGACTTAGTACAATATTAAAATGTTGTTGTTGTTCATCACTGCATCCCCAGCATTTAGCACAGGGCCTGGCCTAGAATAAATGGCCAATAAATATTCATTGAACAAACAAATGAGTGAGTGATGATTTACTGACAAGTAGGTCCCCCTTCATATCTCCCCATTGCTGCCACAGACCTCACTGAAAGGCCTAGCATCAAAGTGCTTGACATCAAAAGTCCCAGTCCTTCCTCACCAGTCATCGCCCACGTTGAAGGCATTAAGGCTCTTGGTGAAGCCTTGCATATTGGTGGGGCTGACTCTCTGCAGGAAGTCAATATAATCCTCGGAGTGGAAGCGGCACATGTCATGCTGAGAGGCCTGGTATGGCTTGAAGACCTCGGAATGGAGACAGAAAAATGAGCCCAGGCAGGGTCAGCCCCACTGAAGGAGCCGAGACCACCCACACTAAACCCAGCTCTAGAGACTGTCCAAAACCATACACAGCAATCTCCCCCACCCCCTAATCCTTGTTGTTCTGTAAGACAAAGGTCAGTGAAGAAGAGAGAATCTGTTTAGGTGGGTTATGATCAAGCTCCCTAAAGACCACTACTTCTCCTTTCCACCTCCAGCCCAGCCTCTCCTACCTTCTCAACCTTGAGCCCTGATCCACCTCTCCTGTTCCCTGGATCTCCGATTCCTGATTCTCTCCATACTCATCTCCTTCCCTGGGCTCTGATTCTGCCCTCTCTCTTCTCTGGGTTCTTAATTCTGGAGTCAAATATATGGGATATATGACAACCTTCTAATTAAAATCCGAGACACTAAACCAAAGATTTATTATCTGAGGGGAGGGAAGGTTCACATTTCTCTTTGAAAACTGGGTAAGAAGAGCTTTCCTTCTCCCAGAAAATACACACAAGTACATACAAATGGTCTCAAGAGATTCATAGATTCCTACACTAACATCGCCTGTCTTTTCTATGACCAATCTACTTGAGTGTGCCTCACACAAGCAGTGAACGTTCATTCATACTGTTATCTACTTCCCCTTGCAGTGCATAAGGGCTGGGCTTAACAGTTATTATCCCATATCAAAGCTATAAATTCCAAGCTGGGGACAGACAGCATGTACATGTCTGGGAGATGGAGGACTGGGTATCCATTAAGCAGAACCACACAGAGGTATTCTAGGTTGAAAAGAGAAAATCCAGGACATCTCCTCCTCTCTTCCACACATGCATACTCATTTAAACGAAGGGCTGCACAGTCGTTCCAGGAGCTTTAAGCTCCTTGGAGGTAGAGAGAGGTGGCAGAGAAGGGGTGGAAACTGAGGGTAAACTCACACCCAGATATAGGGATCCATGCGCCCCAATCCCTGAAGCCACAGCACTGACCACACCCTAAGCTGCACACCTTCTGTCTTCAAATCAGCCCCACACCACCCTAACCCTAAGCCAAGGGCTGGTCCGCCTGAGGTCAAAGGGTGGCTAGCCTAAGGTGAAAAAGTAACTCCCGTTAAGTAAGAGGACCCCACCCCCAACACTATGCATTTAAGGGGTACTCCTGGGGTCTTCTACCTAGCTCCCCCCTATTCTAGGGGCGGGTCGCACTTGGTGCATTCACTCCAATCCTCCTAATCCTAAGGCCGCAGCTCGCCCCCATCCGCAATCCCTGGCAGAGGCGGCAGGACTCACGATCATTTTCTTATAGAGACCGTAGTGCAGGACCAGGCTATGGGTCAATGCCAAGCGATGGGGCTTCATAGGGTGCCCAGCCCCTGGGGGTGGGGAGAAGAGAATTCGTCAGTTCCCACCCCTGGAGTTGCAGCCCCTGCCTCGAAACCTCCGCGTCTCAACCCCTCGCACATAACCCTGTTCCCTCACCGTAGTGGAAGTTGCCCACGTCGGGGTCGTAGAAATAGGCCACAGTCTTGGCCATAGCGCAGCGGCAGCAGGTCCGCGCCTCCCGCCGCCAGCCCCACCCCCGGCCGTACGTGCTGCGCAAGCACGCAGCCTTCCTCTGCGGAACCTCGAGTCCGGCCCCGCCCAACCGAGACCACGCCCGGGACACGCCCCCTGCGGGAGTCCCGCCCCTCGCCTCGCTTCGCCCTTCTAGGTTCCAGGGCTTGAGCGTCCGGGCTTGGGCGGGGGACGGGTAGCATCGGTCCTAGGATGCGAAGGCCATCTCTTTCCGGGCGGGGGTCAAATCCTCGGGAAGCCGAGCCATCCCCTCCAGCCGCCTGCCCGAAACGGGGCGCAGGCCGTGGTCACCTCTTTAGGAGCCTCCGAAGATCCGGCCACGCCGACCCTGTCGGGTGCAGAAAGCCTGTTTCCTCCAGCCCGCTGGGAAGATTCCTGGCTATGCATTCGGCCGGGGCATCTGAGGGCAGGAGCTGCGCCAGGCGTGCCGGATAGACCAGTGAAGAGCACCCCGCCAGACTGCCTTTCCCTCGGCCGGACCAAGACTCGGCGCCGCACATTCTCCCCGGGGGGGCCCGGCGCAGTCACGCGCGCACCCCAATTGCGCTCACACACGCGCAAGGCTCACGCTCTCCGTCCCGCACACCTGCGCTCCGCCCCTTGGTCTGGGGCTGGAGACGGGCGACGGCATTTGAGAATCCAGGGCGGTTGCGGAGGCGCCCCGCATCTTTTCCCTTACCCAGGGCCGGAGTAGTCTGGAGCCTGCCGCCGCTCCCAACCAGCCCTCATCCGTCTCCATCCTTCCCTCCCCCGCCTGCCGTGGCACCAATATCCGCAGCCACAGCCCGAAGCCGGTGAGGCGGCGAAGGGGGGAGGGGGAGGAATCGAGGGATGAGCGCCGGGAGGGCGTCGGGGGCCCTGAGCCGGACAAGGACGCTCCTGGAGCCGGAACCCAAGCCAAAGCCGGAGCCAGAACCAAACCACCGGTACCGGGTGGGCCAGGTGGTCAGGGTGGGAGGAACCGAAAAGGGGTGGGGTGGCGTGCGGGAGTACAGGGAGAGGAGGGGGCTGCAGAGGCCTTGCTCAGGCCGGAGCGGAGGAGGTGCGCCCGCCGCCTGAGAATTCCGTCCCATCTCGCTCTGCAGTGTCCTTTGGAGGGATGAAAGCGCGGGACGAGCTGGAAAGGGGAACGCTCTGGGCGTCGGGGAAGCGGGACTAGGGGTCGTGGAAGAGGGCTTCCGCAGCCACCATCTAACCTGCCCCGGGCGATCTTGGTGGACTAGCACCCCTGGCCCGGACAGCTCCCTAGTTGGGTAGTGGGTGGGGCCGGACCTCTGAGGCGCGCCTGAGGACGGCATTCCTACCCCTCCTCTACCCCCAGCTGCAGCCCCCTAAACCCAGGAGGCGCCCTGGCCCGCGCTCGCCCCCCAGGGCCTCATGTCGGAACCACAGCCTGACCTGGAGCCGCCCCAACATGGACTGTACATGCTCTTTCTGCTTGTGTTGGTCTTCTTTCTCATGGGCCTCGTAGGCTTCATGATCTGCCACGTGCTCAAGAAGAAAGGATACCGCTGCCGCACGTCGAGGGGCTCAGAGCCTGACGACACCCAGCTCCAGCCCCGTGAGTGAAGCGCCTGCAACCCTGGCTCAGTCACCTTTCTCCCTTACTCCTCTCCCCACACCTCTTTCTGCCTCCCTGGCCAATAGCCCCAGGCCAAATCCCCATCAAGTCTGCAGAAAGCCTAGTGAGGCTGTCTTGCGTTAGCAAGTGGGGTGACACCACTCTGAAAGCAAGGCTAGAGAAGGCAGCAAGGACAGGAGGGTCCACTGATGGCAGTCTTGGGCTCCCATTGACTTCCCCATCTTTTCTGGCCTCTGAAATGCTAAAGTTCAGCATGACGGTAAATAGGTAAGGGGATATGTCTTGTGCAATAAGCTATGGGGGCCACCAGGTAATGTTCCCCCAAAGCTGACTCATTCCCACTTCCTTGCCAAATTCTTTCATCCTTCAGCTGAGGACGATGACATGAATGAGGACACAGTAGAGAGGATTGTTCGCTGCATTATCCAAAATGAAGGTGGGTGGAGGTTAGCCCCTTGCTCCCTCCCACCCCAACTTTCTCTTGCCCTGACATCCACCTCCACTGACTCCCTCCTTTCCTTCTCTGCCCAGCCAATGCCGAGGCCTTGAAGGAGATGCTGGGGGACAGTGAAGGAGAAGGGACAATGCAGCTATCTAGGTGAGCTGGAAACAAGGGCCAGCATGGCTTAGCTTGCCTTGGAGAGTACCCTCTCCCCCAGCACAATCCTCTCCCAGTCTCCTTGCACGTTTGGGGTTGGAAGGAGGGCAGGGCTGGCTAACTTACAAGAAAGAAGAAGTGTTGTAGAAATCCTGAGTCCTTCAAACTCTATCTCCCGTCTAGATATCAAGCCTAACATTCACTTCTAGTGCCACTCCTTTGGGTTAAGAATTGCTCTCTTTTTAGCAAACAGCTCTGGGAAGGAGAACACAATGTCATTAACATCTTAATATTGAGTTTATTAGATAAACACAAGAAAAGAATGTTGGGGTCTGGGGAAAGTGGGGAGCCTGGAGGTTTAAGAAGTATGCTGAAAGAAAAGGAGGAAATGGAACAGGAAGGGAAATGGAAATGTCACCCCTGTTCCCCTCCTCCCTACCAGCATGGACGCCACCTCCAGCTTGCAGGACAGAGCCCCCTCCCATCATCACACAGTGCACCTGGGCTCTGCAGCCCCTTGCATCCATTGCAGCCGCAGCAAGAGGCCCCCACTTGTCCGTCAAGGACGCTCCAAGGAAGGAAAAAGCCGCCCCCGGACTGGAGAGACCACCGTGTTCTCTGTGGGCAGGTGGGGAGAGAGTGTCCCAGGGAGAGGGAGGTTGAGATGGGGGCCCCAATGATCAGGCATCTGGCCCCAAAGGTGGGCCCGAGCTCTTTCCTCCTGGACTGGGAACGGCAGCAGGAGTCAGTCTGCACAATGTGCCCCACAATCTGAGAAGGCCTTCTTTGCCCTATGCCAGAGGGAAGCGTACATCAAACCCAGGATGTCCCTGGTTGGAGGGGAGGGCCAAGCAACCTAAGTTACGGTCCTAAGCTCCAGTGTTCCCTCCCCTCCCAGGTTCCGAGTGACACACATTGAGAAGCGATATGGGCTACATGAGCATCGTGATGGGTCACCCACTGACAGGAGCTGGGGCTCTGGTGGGGGACAGGACCCAGGGGGAGGTCAAGGGTCTGGGGGAGGGCAGCCCAGGGCAGGGATGCCTGCCATTGAGAGGCTGCCCTCTGAGGGGCCACAGCCCCAGGCCCTAGCCAGCCCCCCAGTGCAGAATGGAAGACTGAGGGACAGCAACCAAGTCCCATGTGCACTTGAGAGGAACACTGGAACCTCTGCAGAGCCAGCACAGGGGGCCAGAGGGAGGGACCCAAGCCCAGGGCTGCCCAATCAAAAGGCAAATGAACAGCCAAGAAAACCAGACACCTCAGATCACCAGGTACGAAGACTTGGCCAGGGCTGCAGTGCGCAGTGTTGGGCTGTTTTTATTGCCCCCTACTCTGGGGTGCACTGATATAATTCATCTCCTGTTCTCCCATTGTTGATCTCTCCCCCTTCTCTCAGATGTCTCCACCTCGGGGAGCAGGGGGTGTATAAGGTGAGTCTGCCTGAGCCCAAGTCAGGCAATCTTGTCGTGCCACCCCCTACTTAAACCATCTACACCCCCTACTTAAACCATCTATGCCCATCAGCTTCCTGAACGCCCAGGATGAACTGCAGGCTTAGTGTTTGCTACAAATTCCTTAGTTTCATGGTAGGGAGTGGGTATGTGCTCCAGAGGACAGAGAAGGTCCTGCAGCCCCTGGGGAGAAGCTGGGACAGAGCTTGAACAGGAAGCAACACTGTTACTCTTCCTTTCCTCTAAACCTCATTCTTCGTTGCGCTGATGGACTACCAGCTGGCAAGGCCAAGGGGTGGGTGAGCATGAAGGCCCTCCCCTCCACTGGACAGCACTGCCCCCCAGTTGAGGACCAGCTCTACTTCCACCTGGAGTGGCACGGTCTCAGGCTGGGGGACCTCGGGAGAAGTCCCCCCTCCAACCCCTTGTCCCTCAGTCTCTTCCCCTTCCCTGCCTGCCAACAGGCTACCTGACCTGCCTTTCTCAACACCTCGCTCCATATACCAGAGTGTGGCAGCTGGAGCACACCCCTGCCCTTGGTGGGCTCCTAAAGCAATAGCACCTTAGGTCCCCTGCCCTCTTGGCACAAGAGGCTCAGGCCCTGGCTTGGCCTTCGTGCCCTTTATTCACTGTCAATAAATCCGCTCAGATCATTACAGCTGCTTCGCATACTGGCTCCAGCTCCTTCTAACTCCCAAGTCCTGCTCCTTTCCTGGCCCCAACCCCAGTGATCCTGGCATCCAGAGTGGGGTGGGTCACAGAGCCAGGGTGGAAACATAGATGGGCCATAGCCACTCAAGACTTTGGGGGATGGGTTCCAGCACCAGAGACTTCACGGTATTTCACCACCCTAGAGATGGGGTGATGGCAGAAGATAAAGGGGTAGTTCCAGGCCTAGAGATGGCAAGAGGATAACGGGGAAAAAGGAGTGGGTTCCAGCCCCAGAAATGGGGAGAGGGAAAGTTTCTACCCTGGAGGTAAGAGTGGAAATGGAGGAAATTCCAGCTTTCAGCTATGTCACTCTGGATCATTGAGGGGGTGGTCTCTGACAGAATGGAGATAGGGGCAGCAGCATCACTGGGAGGCAGTGATCCCCTGGCCTTCAGGTGAGGGGATCTGGGTGGCCAGGATCCGGGGCTTTAGCTGGCGGGGGAGGTGGTGGACGCATCTGTAGGGAACACACAGTTAATGGTCCTGAGTCCTCCCATGGGGGTACCTGTCCATTTCCTCAGCCCTGCAGACAAGACAGGACCAGTTGGATTTCCCCCTCTGAACAAGATCACCTCCATGGCAGGGGCCCTTACCGGCCTGAGTCGAGGTGCCATCATGTCCAGGAGTCCAGGGTAGTCCAGGGCATAGTCTGGAAACAAGAAACACAAGTCAGTCTTCAGACTTTGTTTTGTTCATTGCTGTACCTCCAGCACTTAGGACAGTGGCACACTATAAATATTTGTTGAATTAATTAATAGTCATCAACCTGGGCCATAAATCCATCAATCCATCCATCCTCAAAAACACTTACTGGGAAACTGCTATATAATCAGCTCTGCTCGAGGTACCAAAGAAAGGGAAGTGGGACACACAGCACCCCCATCCCCAATGGTTGTCAGGAACCCAATAATGAAACACCAACAAACACAATGAATGACCGAGTGCTATGTCAGTCAAAGTTAATTTGAGGTGTTGGAGATGGTGGTAACCTCAGTGGGGCCAGGGAGGGAGACTGTGGAGAAGGTGAAAGTACCAGAAGGTTTTAGAAAAGGTGGGCTTTCCAAGAAGAGAAAATGTTGATACAAAATGTTTGTAGGATTCAAGGACACTAAGAGTAAAGGGTGCCTATTGGGAGAACACAGTGAGAGAAGTTGGCTAATTAAAAATAATAATAAAACAGTTACTATTTGTGTACTTACTATGTGCCAGGTACAATGCTGTGTACTCTACAGACATCTTTTTTTTTTTTTTAACTCTTACAACAATTCAATGAGGTAGTACCTCCCTTCTTACTTATAAAGGACACAAGCTGGGAAGTAATAGAGTGGGGTGTGAACCAGTCAGCCTGGCTTCAAAGCCCAAGGTCTTCTGCCATCAAGTTGCTGTGGACCTTATTGCAAGGTCCCTGAGGGCACGCAGAGGGGTGGAGTATGAGCTAGAAGTCCAAACTTCCTCCTTCCCATCTCTTATCCTCCCAGGACCCCCAATTCCCTCTACTCACCCCTAGGCAGGACAGGTGCAGGGGGACCATCTGAGGCAGAGGTGGGTGCAGGAGGGGAGAAGCTGGGAGGAGAAGGGGATGGTAGCATCTGGGGGTGGAGTAGGCACAGTTATTCCTGGTGTGTGGCAAGGTTTTGCCAGCTTTTCCTCTCATCCCACTTTCAATTCCTATCTCATTATTCCCCAGTACAGGAAGTGACCAAATGTTTATATTCAGGGGGGATTGTAGCTGATACATATTTCAACAGCCCGTATGTATTGAACACTTACTATGTCTCAGGTGTTCTGCTAGCACTTCACATGCACTATAACTAATTCATTCAATCCTCACCACCACCTTGTGAGGTAGGCATTTTCCTGACTCCTGTGTTAAAGGTAAGACTCAGGTTAAGCCATCTGTCCCAAGATCACAGAGCCAGTTAGTGGCATAGTGCTGGCTAGAATCTGGGTCTCCTGACTCCCACTCCTATGCTCTTCCCACTGTATTATAGCAATAGGTATCATATATTAAAGCAACAACTGTGTGCCACTGTGCTAAGGGCTTTACCTCCATTATCTCTAATCATAATAGTGAGCCTGCTGAAGTATTATTATCCTTATTTTACATGTGACGAAACAAGCTCAGAGAGGTTAAATCACTGCCCAAGGGCATGTGACAGAAATTTGAATTCAGATCTATCCAGCACTAAATTAGGACCTCCAAACTCATAGGAAGGCTGCCTTGGTTTCCCTTTTCTCTGCCCAGCCAAAGGATATGGGGATGCCAGGCTATCATAGGAGATAAAACTGGGGAAGAGAGGAGGAATTGAGATAAATATCAAGCCTTAACTGGGGTGAGAGGATCAACCTAAAAGTTCCTGGGGACTCATGGAAAAGGAAGACTCACCTGTTCAGTGTCAGAAAGTTCAGGTAGCCCTGGGGGACCAAGCAGCTCCTCCACTAACAGGGAGGGAAAGACCCCAACATGGCCCCCAAATTCTCCCCTCCAGAAGCCGTCATCTACTCCGTCTTGGGCCCGGGGCAGCAGACGGATGAGCGCCCCCTCAGGGAAGCTCAGTTCCTCTGTGCTCTGTGCTGTATAGCTGTACAGGGCACGGGCCAGGAATGCTGCAGAAGCCCAGGAGAGATGGTGAGAGAGGGAGGTGAGTGGCAGTGCCCAGGAACACCACACCCCAGGGGCACAAGGACACAATAACTCTTCTCCATACCCAGAATTTCCCTTTCTTACCTGTGGGCTCTGCCCCCGAGAGATTGTCGCTGTCATGGCCACTCTTAGGGAGGGAGAGGTCCGGGAAGTTGAGATACCGCTCAGGGACAAAGCCTACCTCGCCATGCTGGTTCCGAGCCTGATCACCCAGCAACGTGAACAGATATCAGACTTGCCTCAGCAGTTCATGGCCCTGGCTCTCCTCCACTCAGGCTTCTAGATTTGCCTGGCTGGGTTCTTGGGGGTCACAAAGTCCCTCCCACTGCCCCCAACCCAAGATCAGACCCCAGGGTCCCGTACATACCTTGACCCATTCATCAGCATCTCCCTCTTCTATGACCTCCAGCCATTCACCCTCCGTGATGGTCAGTTCATCCTCACGCCCTGCCTGGGCCCCACAAGGAAGGATTCAGGACTTGGCTGTCCTCCACTCTTGCCCATCTAAGGTCCCTACCCCCATTCACACCTGATAGCCAAACACCACATGTGCCAGGCAGGGGAGAGGCCTGGTGGCCAGGGCTGAGGGTGCTGGCTCCTCAAAGAGCTCTCCTGTCTCCTCACATTCCTCAAAGTCAGAAAGCTCAGCATCCTCAACCTGAAAGGAGGCAGAGAACAGACATCATTATCGGGCCCGCTCTTAGGTACTGGTTGTACTTCCCACTCCTCCATCCTACCACTAAAGGACACCATGGATCCTCCTCCAAGGTAGTAGCATCCGTCCACTCACCATGTGTTGCAACCAAAACCACTGCAGAGCAGGATAACAGTAACAATCACAGCAGTTACAGTCATCAAGCACTTACTGTATGCCAGGCACAATGCTAAATATCTTATGTACATTGTCTCATTTAACCTTCATAATAACCTGTGTTATCGTACACAAATATTAACCAACCTCATTTTACTTATGCGGAAATTCAGGCTTACTTTTTAAGTCGCTTTCCAAGATCACACAGCTACAGACTGCCTCCAGAACCTTACTTCTTTATGACCATACTATACTCATAATAAAAGTTTATTGAGGACTCTCTATGCCAGAAACTATGCAAAGAATTATACATGAATGGTTTCATTTAAGCCACACAACAACCCTTTGAGTTAGGTACTATTGTAATTCCTATTTTATAGGGTCTGCCATCCACTGGGGAGTTTTAGCCTCCTGGGTGTGCATGGGTAGAATGGGGGAGGAGCTTACGGTGGGGGAAAGGTCCCTCTGGGACAGCCGAGCCTCACTGAGCCGTCGCTCCTGCTCCACCTCATCCTGGGCTTGGGTCATGGCTGGCTTTAGCCAGTGCTGCACATCCAGGCCAGCTCCCTGTAGCAGGGCCAGCCGGGCAGCCCCCTTCACCTGGCTCACCTGGGGCATGAGGAAGAGGGAAGTTAGTGTTCACCTTCTACCTCCACTCTCCTCTCTCCCCACCATCAGAAAGAGGCATGGAGTGGGAGTTGCCTGAGGAGGTGGCATCTCAGTGGCTCTAACCCCCAGGGCTGTTCCTTACCTGTGCCCGCCGAATGCTCTCCCTCACTTCCTGTAGCCGCTGTTCTATGCCTGGAGCTTCCCGCTCTGGAGCCTGCTGCCGCCTCTGCTCCAGTCGCTGCAGCACCTGGTTGGGAAGGCAGAGGACAGGGGTGGGTGGAGAGATACTGTGGGGCATAACTTACTACGGGACTGGTACTTTGCTAGTTGCATCACATGCATTGCGCCGTTTAATCTTCCCTAGGAGGTGGGTGCTATTATTGGTCCCACTTTAGTAATGAGGAAACTGAAGCCAAAGAAGTCAAGTCACTCCCTTACCCAGGGTTACAGAACTAGGGAGTAAGAGAAGAGAATTTGAACCCAGGTTGGTCTAATTCCAGAAGCTGTGCTCTTAACTACTGTGCCATGCTGTTGCCTTGAAATATTTTTCCCTCCTCTCCTGTCTGCAACTCCTTGACATCCCCAATGTCTCTGGGATTCCCATCTCTCAGCTCTTCTTGCCCTCCCACAACACCTGCACCCCCCACCTCACCCGGTACCCATGGTTCTGGATCTTATAGTCGCGGGCAGCTCGGCTGGTCCAGCGCTGAACCTCTTTCTCCAGGTCGCTCTCCCCAGCCATACCTCCTGCTCCCCTCTCCAGGGCACACACCTGAATGGGACAGGGAATGCTGTGAGGAAGACCTGAGGTCACTCTTCTCTTCAGTTCCCTCCTTCTTCCTCTCTTTGTCTTCATCTCCAAGGACAGGGACAAAGAGGTA